CCTCATCCTCCTCCTGCTCTGCCCGTCCCTGGTCGAGCGCAGCCTGCCTCGATTCCACAAGCCTCTGGGCTGCCTCGAGTTCCTGCGGTGATTGAGCAGGCTCGTGGCGAACAGCCCAGGGGAGGTCGAATGCGTTCGCGAGGGCGGTCTTCTGCTCAGGGACATTGGAAGCGGAAGCCCTGACAGATAAACTTACTTCTGGCAGCAATGGCGGTCGTGGGACACAGAGCGCAGGGGCTTGGGCGCCATAGGCGGAGTCGAAACAGTCGCCCAGGTGTCCCCAGGCGCCTGCATGGGTCGGCGCATGCAATAGGGGGCTTGGAATTGGAGGGTGGGGGGGTGACCATGGGCTAGCCGTCGCGCGGGTGGTTGCATCCGTCTTGGTGGCAGCATATTTGCTGGCCAAGTGGTCCCAATGGGGCGGGTACAAACTCGAGCGCAGCATCTGTTCTTTGGCAAGACAATTCAATTGTTCCCAGCTGGCAGTGCTGAGTCTGCGCCAGGGCGCGGGAAGGTACGCACTGCTGGGGGCCCGTTGGTCGCCTAACCAAAATGCACAACCCGTCGCCGTCGCAACCTTCATGTCAACGATGCCGTCGGATTGTTCTTCCATTGGTCAAAACTTTAGCGGAGAATGGTCGCGAAGGGATTCCTCGGGACTGAACGGGCGAGTTGGTGAGCTGAGAAAAAAGCCTCGGACCTCGTCTTGCAGTAGTCTTCTGAGCCGCTGGGGTGAATACCGTATTGGTGTAATCGGGTCCGTCGATGCGACGATGGTGCACATACTGCGTTCGCCCACGACCCAGACAGCAGCCCGCTCAGCCGCAGCCTGGGCCACCCCAGACACTGGCGGCCTGGGCGAGAGGAGGACGGGAGCAAAGACATGTTGACGGGATTGTTCGCGGGCGAGCTTCTGGCAGCACTGCAGAAGAACGAGTAGGAAAGACATTCAGTATACCTTGCCAGCAACTGGACGGCTCCTGATCGCAATGGACTTGAACTGTTTCCCAAGAGGGGCAATCGTTTCCTCATGGCTTGTATTCTCGTGATCGTAGACCTTATGAAAGTTGCTGTCCTACGGCTGTCGAGAAACGCACTGGGAAGTCACGAGTGACGCAGGGCAATCGAAACTGGCCCGCCGAACTGTTTGCACCCCCCAGAAACAATCCGCAGATGTGGTAATCCATTCAATCGCGGACCACGTGGAGATCTGCAGGATGCAGGATCCCCGCAAGCATATCTCGGCACGGCTTGGAGAAGCACGGGGGCCGCCAGCACACGCGGGGTGATGTCCTCCAAAATGCTCTCTGGGCGACGCGCCGTATCCGCTGCCAGCGTGTCCTGGCGGCGTGGTCTGCTTTCCACCAGGGCCCTGCCGGGTCCAGCTGGGCATCCCGTGTCTGGCGCCAAGGGTGGCGGCAGCCGACATCCCAGAGGTGAGACTGATCAGCCCGGCGGCTTCAGTCTCGCCCACGTCGCGCCCGCTCTCCACTCAGGGGCACGGCGGTGAGTGGAGCGGTGGTCCTTTCCCCTGGGCAGTCGGGGCCGGCGGATTCCGAGGAACGGGGACCGTTGGCGCCAGAGGACTACGTACTGGCCTCGCTCGTGGCGCCGACGACGCCCGTGGCCGACAGGGATGGTCACGAGCGAGAGGAGTGGTCGCACTCACCCAGCCCGACAGGCTTCAGGATGGGGGAACCTGGTGGGCGAAGCCTGGCCTGCACTGCGCGACGAGCCCAACGCCGGGGTCTTGCGCCAGACTGCCGCACAGGCGCCCGGAGCCGGGCTCAGGAGACCTTCGCATGAGAGCATTGCCACGTGACCGGGCACGGGCGGATGAGGCCGACGAGGAAAGTGCTCAGCGCGTTGTCGTGGTGGTAAAGGGGGGTCTGGCTGTAATGGGGGGGCACGGAGGTGCGCGCGGGCAAGAGCGCGCGCCGCTAGCGCCCTGTCCGCTGACGGCGCTGGTCTGGAGGTGAGCTCGCGGCCGCGCCACGAGCTCGGGGCGGGCTGGCGCTCGTGCCGACCAGCCACAACAGGGGGCACTGGAAGACCAGCCAAAGAGCTGGAGGAGCTCGTGCAGACCAACCACAGCTGGAGGAGCCAGGAGAACCATCGTGCTGACAATCTCTCAAGATGGGGGCCGAAGCCGAAGGGCCCACCTGGCAGGGCAATAGAAGAAGAAAAAATGCCATTAACATAAACTTGTAACGCTCCGTGCTGATTTCTTGGATCTGCGCTGAACCCCCCCTCCCCGGCGCGCGGAGCGCGCCAGGGGCGGCGCCAGAGGCGCCGCCGGCGGGGGCCCAGCGCGGATCCGAAAAAATCCACGCGGAGCGCCAAAAGTTTATATTTCTGGCGCTTCTGCCGCTTCGAAGGGCAAGGACGACATAACACCTCCCCGAGCTCTGGCCGGCCTGTGGCGACTGCGGACCGCCGCCGCGAGGGCAGCCACGGGCCCGAGTCGCGCCTCACGCCTCGCGCGGGCGGCGCCGAGGGCGGGGGCCTCGACTGGAGAAGGAGAGAACCGTCGCGGCGTCGCAGCGCCTGCCCGGCACAGAAGACAGGCTCGGGCCGTATGCACAGGCAGCTACACATACCTGCGCACAGGCAGACAGACAGACAGACAGACAGGCAGGCAGGCAGACAGACAGACAGACAGACAGACAGACAGACAGGCAGACAGACAGACAGACAGACGTAATAACATACATACACAAATGCATTGCGATATCTACATATGTATATGTATATATATATGTATAACTATACGACCACCCTTCGGGTTATAAGGAGGTTGTGGGGGGGAGAGGGAGGGAACCAACGTCTGACTCAATCGATCTCACTATCGATCTCACTCAAAGGGAACACCACGGGACACCTCGGAACACTTGTCGATCTCACTATCGATCTCACTATCGATCTCACTCAATGGGACACCACGGGACACCACGAGACACCTCGGGGCACCACATCGATCTCAATGTCGGTATCGATCTCACCATCGATCTCACTCAACGGGAACACCACGGGACACCACGGAACACTTGTCGATCTCACCATCGATCTCACTATCGACCTCACTTTTTGGGACACCGCGGGACACCTCGGGGCACCACACCGATCTCAATATCGATCTCACTATCGATCTCACTATCGACCTCACTGTTTGGGACACCGCGGGACACCTCGGGGCACCACATCGATCTCAATATCGATCTCACTATCGATCTCACTATCGATCTCACTCAACGGCGTTACGGGACACCACGAGACACCACGGAACACCTGTCGATCTCACTGTCGATCTCACTATCAATCTCACTATCGATCTCACTATCGATCTCACTCAACGGGACACCACGGGACACCACGGGACACCACATCGATCTCACTATCGATTTCACTATCGATCTCACTATCGATCTCACTATCGATCTCACTCAACGGGACACCACGGGAAACCACGGGACACCACGGGACACCACGGGACACCGCGGGACACCGCGAGCCACCGCGAGCCACCGCCGGACGGACGGGCGGGAGGGGGAATCATTTGTCTTGGCTTCGCCCTAGCAACGGCGGCCACCACGGGACACCACGGGACACCACGGGACACCGCAGGGCACCGCGAGTCACCGCCGGATGGGCGGGCGGGAAGGGGAGAATAATTTGTCTTGACTTCGCCCTAGCAACGGCGGGTTCATTCCTCTCGCGCGCCCACGCAGCTTCGCCTCGCCCGCACGCACGACATGAACGAGACAAAGCGATTTCCCGGTCGGTGGTCTCCGTTCCACTGCGATCTCACCCCCCAACCTCCGATGCATCAAGACACACAAAATCATAGAGAGAGAGAGAGAGAAGAGAGAGAGAGAGAGGAATAAAGAGAGAAAGAGAGTGAGAGAGAGAGATAGAGACACAGAGAGAGGGAGAGAGCGAGAGGGGGGGGGGAACAAGAAATCCGCAGCGGCTGCAAATCACGGAGGACACATTTCTCGCGGCGCGCATGGCTCGAGCGGGCCAGCCGAGCGCGGGCCCGAAGACTCGGCGCGCACCAGCGCCTTCGCCGCTGCTCCAGGGAGGGGGCCGTCGGTGGCCCAGACAGGGTCCAAGGATCCCTGCGCGTTTCGCCCCACCCCCCTGCCCCCCCTCCTCCTCCTCCTCCTCCTCCTCCTCCTCCTCCTCCTCCTCCTCCTCAGCAGCAGCAGCATCAGAATCAGCATCAGCATCAGCAGCAGCAGCATCATCATCATCATCATCATCATCATCATCATCATCATCATCATCATCATCATCATCATCATCATCATCATCATCATCATCATCATCATCATCATCATCATCATCATCCATCATCATCATCATCATCATTCATCATCCTCCTCATCATCATCATCATCATCATCATCATCATCATCATCATCAGAGTCCTCCTCCTCCTCATCATCAGCAGCATCGGCATCATCATCATCAGCATCATCATCAGCATCATCAGCATCGTCATCGTCATCGTCATCGTCATCATCAACATCATCATCATCATCAGCATCAGCATCAGCATCAGCATCACATCAGCATCACCATCATCATCATCCGCATCAGCAACAGCATCATCATCATCAGCATCATCAGCATCAGCATCAGCATCAGCATCAGCATCAGCATCAGCATCAGCATCAGCATCAGCATCAGCATCATCATCATCATCATCATCATCATCATCATCATCATCATCATCATCATCATCATCATCATCATCATCATCATCATCATCATCATCCTCCCTCTCCTGCAGGACCCCGCCCGATCTGCCCGGCCTCTTGCCCCGATGTCCCCCGAGAGGCCCCCGACGTCAAGACCGAACGCCAGCCTTCGGGCTCCCAGAACTCTTCGTCGGTGCCCTCCGCCCCGAGCTCGGGAGGGCCCCCCCGCGGGCAAGGGCGGGCGCAGCTGGCGCGGAGGCTCCTCGAGGCCCGCGCCGCAGGCTCGGCGCGCTGGTCTCACCCGCCGTCGGGGCTGCCCGCCTGGCCAGGGCGCCCCCCGGCCGCGAAGTCGGCGATCATCCCCGGGTCGTACCCCGGCCTGTCGACACGGTGCCGCACCTGCTGGGCGCCGCAAAAGAAGCGCGAGACGCCTGCGGCGATGCATCGGCCCATGCACTGACGACGTCGGCGATGCATCGGCAACGTCGGCGTGGAGAAAATTGTGCCCCGCATCGAGCCGCATCGCCGATGCATCGCCGATGCGGCGCGATCCTCCTACCCCATCTACTCCGACCCCATCTAGGAGGCCGATAGAGATCAGAACCCGCTCCTGGTGCCGCGATGCACTAAGGAAGGCGACCAAAGGCAGCAACTCACTCCAGCGAAACAACCTTCCCCGAAGACTGACGACTAGGCAGCATTCGCAGACGTGATCTGCCTATCGCCCAGGCGCCTATTTGATCAAGCGCAAGCTTGAACAAGTGACCTAGCACAACGCGCACAGAGACCCTGAATGGCGAGAAACGGGAACACCTGGAGGCGTAGAGACATGATGGACACCCGTCGAAGGGCACGAGGAAAAACGGCCCCAATGTTGGCACGCAAGCGAGGGCGTGCACGGAGAAAACAGCCATCGTGCTACCATTAGAAAGCAGAGACTCTCCTGGCCGCTGCGAGCCAACGGCTTCGAATCAGTTCCCCGACCTGGATCCAGGGAACGGCCCGAAAACCAGAGCTCCTCCCGAGGCCAAAGCGGTCCTCACTTCGGCGGCTTGACTGCACAACGACTTCGGGCCCAGGGCCAACGCGCTCCGGCTTCGGCTTAAGTCGGGCCTGTCCCCCTAAAGGGGGATTTTGTACGAAAAATGAAGAATACCCAAAAAAGACTCAAAAATATTCAGAAAATGCTCAAAAAATCGCCCCCTGACTATTTTTGGCCCATATTTGAATATTCCCCCTGTAGAGGGACAGGCCCGACTTAAGCTTCGGCACGAGAACGCCGGACGCCCCGCCGCCCACCTGCTGGGCGTGCCCGAGCTGCAGCCTCACGTACAGGCGCAGGGGCCTCATGACCGCCTGCACCGGGAGGCCAGGCGGGGGCAGGCTGCAGCGCGCCTCCACGCCGGAGCCCACGAGGGTGCGGGCCGATGGCCGGGCGACAACGTTGGGTGCGGGAGGAGGAGGAGAAGGAGGAGGAGGAGGAGGAGGCGGAGGAGGAGGAGGAGGAGCGGGAGGGGGAGGAGGAGGAGGAGGAGGAGGAGGAGGAGGAGGAGGGAGGAGGAGGAGAGGGAGGAGGAGGAGGAGGAGGAGGAGGAGGAGGAGGAGGAGGAGGAGCGGAGGAGGAGGAGGAGGAGGGGGGAGGGGGAGGAGGGGGAGGAGGAGGAGGAGGAGGAGGAGAGGAGGAGGAGGGAGGAGGAGGAGGAGGAGGAGGAGGAGGAGGAGGAGGAGGAGGAGGAGGAGGAGGAGGGAGGGAGGAGGAGGAGGGGGGGGGGGGGGGCGTCTTTCGTCCCAAGGTTCCCCACCATGGCCCGAGTCGCAGACAAGAACCGACGGCTGCTGCACTGCTCATCCGTCCAGCATTGTACCTCGCCTCCCCTGTGTCCACGCTTCCTGCTCGTGGAACCTCCTCCAGACAAAGCTCACTCGTCCGAGAAGACAAAGGCCGCAACCGAATGCAACAAAGCCACAGAGCAGATTCACTTGCCCGCCACCTCGTAGAAACGCCCGCCCTTGTAGGTGCCGACCGAGCCTCAAGGTGACCAGCAAGCCGCCCCCATCGTAAGGAAGGCGGGCAAGACAAACAAACAAAAAAGAGCGAGAGAGAGAGAGAGAGAGAGAAGAAGAGGCAAAGGAGACCGTCCGTGCCGAAAGGAAGCAAAAACGGGCGAAACTGGCCTCGAGCTTCGCTTTACAACCCCACCCCCTCCCCCCCGCACCCCACGCAAAAGTGAACGCTCGATCAGGGGGCGAATGCGCTGCCCGCCCAAGTGCCCCTTCCAGGGCAAAGGGGGCCGGGAAAGCACCGTTTCTTTTTTGAGGGGCGCAGGGGCTTCTTGGGCAACTCTGGGGGTCCCTGGACGGATACGCGAAAGGCGGTCGTGCCTCAGCACGAGCAGCTCCGTCCCGGGCAAACGACAGAGAGGCCGAGCTACGACCGCAGCTCCAGCAACGCTATCTGGCCGAGCACATATGTGTGTGAACACCATTCTTGGCCCAGAAAGCGTCCCCAGAAAATTCGGGAAAGATCTGGGGCCGGGACGGCACCTTGGGAAGCCCGAAGTGGGTACGGAATACGGATACATGGGTACGGTGCCGAGCGCCACGTGTTATCCAAAAACGGCAGCGGCCGCTGTGGGGGGCAGGCAGACTGCTGTCTCGGATGGACGACGCCCGTGGCGACACCGACAGCGAATTCTCCTCCTCCTCCTCCTCCTCCTCCTCCTGCTCCTGCTGCTACTCCTCCTCCTCCACTTCCTCCTCCTCCTCCTCCTCCTCCTCCTCCTCCTCCTCCTCCTCCTCCTCGTTCAGCCTAAATAGGACATGCTATCGGTTGTCGTACCTATTCTTGCCGTACCCATTTCGATCGCGGGCCTAATACAGACCCAGGCCAAGGCAAACCCGGGTCCATCAGGCTTGACAGGATCCTGCAGGATCCTGCAGGACCCCGCGGGATCCTGCGCCTGAGCCCGGGTCAGCGCGCCCCTGGCCCTGCAGCATCCTGCAAGGTCTGGCGCTCTGGCTGACCTCCGCTTGCACTGACCCCGCCTCTCAAGGCTCCCGACGACCGTGCCGAGAAAAGGCCCCCGGCTGGCGCGCCCCTTCAGCCGCACACTTGCCACCGCTCGAGCGTCCCTTCCCCGTGCATGTTTTTGTTCAGTTTCGTGCGCTGATTTGTTGCCAGACGATCCAGGATGCTCCTCGGTGGTCCGGTCCAGAGAAAAAATCGACGGTGGACAAACCTCCCTTTAGTAAACCACCCTTTATTGGAAATGGCCTAGGACCGAAACCGACGGACCTGGACCTACAAAAATGATGGCCGTGACGCCCTCTCGCGAACCGAAAACGGCCAATTCACTAATCGACGTGTCAGGGTAGGAGGTCTATCAACCTCCGAAAAAAACGCACACGTCCGAGCGATGCCAAACATGGACGTTGCCTGCTGCGCGCCATGGCCGCCCGCGACGGCCCGTCGTTCGAGGGGCACGCCAGCATCCGGCCTTCGGCCCCAGGAGCGGGGGGGGGTCTGAGATGTACGGGGGGGGACGCGGCGCGCACGCGGTGGCACAGTCGGCCCGAGGTGTAAGGTCGAGGGAGATGCGGTGTTCGGGGAGGGTGCCATGATGTTCACGCCGGCTACAGCCTTCTGTCCCAGGAGCGGGGGTGGGTTTGGAGATGCACGGGGGAAGGGAGGCGCGCACACGGTGGCACAGTCGGCCCGAGGTATCAGGTCGAGGTAGGTTCGGGGGTTCGGGGAGGGTGCCCTGATGATCTTCCTGTTTGTTGGACGTTCTTGTGCAGTCCTGGGGGAGGGCACCACCGAATGTTCTTCCGTTTGGGCCGGCGGAGGGTCTCCTGTTCTCGAAGGATGCAGTAAGTTATGTCCGAGGTCCGACTGCAGGGGGAGGGGGGGGAGGAAGGCTGCTTGGGAGGAGGCTGCTTCTTGGGAGGCCACGGCCCGACATGTCTGTAGGTGGGGCCCGCGCCTCCTAGGGAGCAGGGGTGCTTCCAAGAAGCCCTCCCCCCTCCCCCCACCCCCTCTGCGCGTGGCTGAGCACGGGCGAGGCGAACTGGCTGGGGGGCGGGCGACGGAAGGAGGACGGAGGAGAGGAACAGGGGCAGACAAATGGCACAGCATCGACGCCGCGCGTGTCATCGTGCCGCATGGCTTGCCACCAACGGCCTCGTCACGCCATGCACGAACGCTCCAGCCGATACGCGGAAAGGGCGGGAATTTGTCGATGGACTGCTCAGGCATCGAGCTTGCACACTACTTGTGGGCCTCTACGCGGATGATACAACGCAGCTCTGAATGCCTCCCATCTTTCTGAGAACGCAGCTCACAGAAAACCAACGCGTGAAACTCCAATCGTGATCGATTCCAAAATATCCCAGCTCGAATCAAAAACCCGATCAAAAAAAACACCCTCCTCCTCGTCCTCCGCTGCATCCGTCTCGGGTTTCAGATCGGAACCCCGAACTGTGAATCAGCCGACACAAAAAAAAACGATTCGGGCACCGTCCATGCTCGAACTCAAACTGTTTTGGGTCCGACTCGAGCCCCGAGATTCCTCCGTACGCTGTAGACATGCAGCTAACCTCTGTCGCAATATGCTTTAACCCAGCGCTCATGTCGTGCGAAAGGGGCAAGCTGTTTCTACGATATGTTGCACTGGATGCCATCCGATACGATGATTACCGCGCTCCCCAAGTCCTCCCCCTCTCCATGCTGACATCCAGAACAACCTCCTCCACGCAGGGCAGGGGGGGGACAAAGACAGAGACACAGCTCGAAAATGGCACGGCGCATGGCCTGGTGACAGAGGCGGTAGTACTGTTTGCTCCGCAGACTCGTCGCATCCAGGCCCTCCAGCGCAGACCAAGGGCTCCTGAATACGCAGCTTACGCATGATTGAGCTGGTGTCCTGCGGCGCCGACTGAAGCTCGCGACAGACTGCAGAGACTGAAATACATATTGGCGCGGCGCACAAGAACTGACGACAGCGAATTCAATAGATGCCGAGAAATCGACCGAGACAAATAGATTATGCAGGCACCAGACTTCGAAGCTGACGGAAGCATAAGCGAATCGACAGAAAACAGCGGACACCACTGTCAAAGCACCGTCCTGTACAATCGAAAACAGGTTGATGCCATTCTGACACGTAAAGTCATGAATCATGGAGGTCGAATCATGTATGTGCCCAAGCTCACACGCTCTTGTGTCATCTCAATATCATCGCCTGAAAGCTCCTGCTGGTAATCGCAATTAGTTGGTCGAGATTATTGTTTATCCGAATCCGATGTCGCACTCTCTGAATACACAACCGCATCACTGACTATAATTCAAAACTCACATCAGCACTTCCGCCACAGTACTACTGGCACGTTGGAGCATTTGAACACATGCTAGCTGCCCCTAAGCTTAATCCCCCAACAATGATTGCACATCGCGGCTCTCACTTGCGAAAAACACCAACGGTGCTGAATAAGAGAACGTTGGCTTAAGAAAAAATAGGCTGGCCCAAGAATCGCCAAACAATATGAAACTGGTAACTGGATTTCACGTTGAATGTCTCTTGGTACTGGCAACCTCTTGACGGCGGCGAAGGGGAAAAACTTCCTGGAATGTCCGAAGGCGTGGCGACATTGCGGGGAGAAAGAGGAAGAGAAAAAGGAGGAGAAGGACAAGGATAAATAGAAACATGCTCCACGCAGGCAAGCTCCTGGCATTGCCCGGGAGCCCTGGAGCACACAGAAAAACTGTTCAGGCTGCGAGCCGACCTCTTGGGCACACGGTCAGGTCGAGAGTGTCCCCCCCGCCCTCCACCTCCACCCTCCGCTCCCTATCCTCATCCTCTTCCTCATCCTGGGCGGGGGAGCTCAAGCAAGTCGAGAGAGGCCAGTTTCTCTCCGTACGGAGCAGGGGTGCGAAACCTGCGGCTTGACAGCCCACGGGGATCTGCTGACCAGGGCCAGTGCAAACCCGGGTCAGTCAGGCCCTGCAGGATCCTGCACCCAAACCCTGGTCAGTGCACCCCTGGCTCTGCAGGATCCTGATCCCGCGACACGGCTGACCCCCGTTGGCACTTACCCCCCCCTGCGGGATGGCGCCTGCATAGGGCACATGGCCGCAGGACACCCCGCAGAGACGCGTGCGCCTTGAGGGTCACGCACAGAGAGGAGTCTGCAGGTGTCGCCACCGGCCTGGCCTGGGACGTCTCCCACACTTACCCCCGTCTCTTGAGCCCCCGAGACCCCTTGGCGTGCTCCCGCCGGCAGAGGCTGCCCCTGGAGGGGCAGGCATCGACCCGCCCCGCCCCCTTCCCGGGCGCCCCGCGCCGATGCGCAGGGTGAGGTCGACAGCTGAGGGGCGGACGGACTCAGGAATGGGGAGGACGGCCTCCTGGCCTCCTCCTCCTCCTCTTCCTCCTCCTCCTCCTCCTCCTCCTCCTCCTCCTCCTCCTCCTCCTCCTCCTCCTCCTCCTCATCCTCCTCCTCTTTCTCCTCCTCCTCCTCCTCCTAATCCTCTTCCTCCTCCTCCTCCAACTCGCCCCAGACTCAGGACTGGGGAGGGCGGCCGGAGGTGCTCAAGGCTTTCGAGCAGTGGGAGGCGGACCTGCCTGCAGTCAGTGAGCTCGGACGCCAGGTCTTCGAGCGAGCCCGTGAGGGCAACGAGGTAGCGAAGGGAGCCAGGTGTTGGAGTTTGAGGAGGCTTCGCTTCGCCTTGAGCGCAGACCCGTACCATAATATACCGTACCTCCTGGACGGGGACACTGCCCTGGGGCGACGCAGGAACTCGAGGCACTCGGCCGACGTAGAATGTCCTCCAAGGCGGTTGCAGCGATCGGCGTGCCGGGCGCCTGCTCTTCTGTTAGTTTTGCCTCTCTTGAGGGGGACAGAAGAAAGGACCCTCTGGCTCTGCGAGGCTCCTGCAATGCCCCAGACCTGAAAAGAAAGTATGCTATATGTTCCTACGGAGTGCAGACTTGACGATGGCGCCCGCAAATTACACAACGCAAGCCAAGACTAAATTTCTTGAAACGTGCCGTGGGAGTAAGGAGCCAGCCCCGGCGGCCGCGCTGGACCGTTGGCGCATCGGTGCCCTGTGGTTGTTGCACCGTGGTGCCCTGCAGCTGGTGCCCTTTAACTCGACATCGCTCGGACGTCCACCCCCCGTGCATTTTTCGGCTTCATGCGTGTTTTTGTTGCTCGATGATCCAGGATGCTCCTCGATGGCCTCCGCCGAGAAAAAATGCACACCGCCGAGCGATGCCAAGTATACTCGGTACACCTTGGTGCACTGTGGAAGATGACCTGCGATGCCCTACAATTAGTGCCCCCTGGTCAGTAGCCTGTAATGCTGGTGTCGTACAGTCGGACCCAGGCCAACAGAACATTGGATAATCAAAAAAAGGACCCGTAACCCTGTGAGAGTGGACCTAAGTCAGGAGGGCCAAAAAACATTAGGGATAGGGGATCTTCTGCAGAAGTATCAGCCCAAACCGCCCAGAATTATTATCCCCTAATTCGAAGACGGGGACCTCAGTGAGGCCACGTCTTCATCATGCTATGAGGGTTAGGTTTTTTTTGCGCTCGAGGAAACATCCCCCGAGAAGATGGATCCTCCGTTGGCAAAAACACACATCATGACATCCAAGGGTACACTCCCCAGGATGCACAAGAGCATCCAACCAGCACGAAGAACACTAGGGCACCCTCCCCGAACCGACCTCGATCTTATACCTCGGCCCGACTGTATACTGCCTCGCGCCTTTTGCGATATTGTTTGCGGTTCACGCTCGCCTTCTGAAGTGCTATACAACCGTCGTGCTGCGACAAAGAACGCGTCATACGGAACGGAGCGGCTTTTCTGGCCACGGCCAGCGCGGGCTACGAACTGGCTCTCCGACCTGGATCCAACGAAGGGCCTGACAACCAGAGCACCTCCTGAGCCCAAAGTGGTCCTTACAGTGAAGGCCAGTCCACAAGAAACCTTCCACAAGAAGCCCAACCCTAAGACTACAGGGCGTCCACTGACTTTTGGTGTAGGCACATCACGCTTCACATGGCAAAACCATTGAAACCCAAGGAACCCAGGGCACCCTGGAGACAAGCAGGGTGTTTCTTGGCATGGGTCTCCACTGTATGTCAGTGCCCTGACCGTACGAGGCAAGCAGGGTGCTTCTTTTTGTTTAACTGTCGCCTCTGCAGTCAAGAGAGAGAAGCTGCACTGGCGGGGTCTCGCGCCAGAGACGCAACCGCCTGCCGCGCACGTATCTGGTCGGCTGCCCAAGGGTGTGCACGCAAGGCGGAGCGAACAGCTCCCGAAAGTACGTAAAGAGATTCATCTGCACACCTGCATGGGGCTGAGAAATCGAAATAAACCGGAAACCCCCTGGGAACGATCAGGGAAAGGGGAGGTGAAGGAGTTCCCTGGGGGAGACGGAGGAGGAGCCCGTCGGTCTTCCGCCATTGGCTTCGACCTACAATGGGCAAAAACTGTTCAAATGCTTTGCCGCTGTGAGATCGTCGTGGGTCGAACGCACAGCAGCGCGGTAGCGCGCGATGGGATCCATAGGCAAACCAAACCCATTCGTTCGGGTAACTTTGTGGCCAGCCTACTTGGCTCTGCGCACCAGACTACTAATCACCGCAACCCTGCAATCTGCTCCAACGCACACGAGGCTCTGAATGGCAAGTGGGACGTCCAAGGGTCTTGCATCATCACCTTGCACCCATGTTATGGATGTCGACTGTATGACTGAAACAGTATCAGACCTTGGAGACAGCCGGCGCTGCCAATCAGCTCAACTGGCTCTCGGTCTCGGACAGCGCGCCAAGCTCCGTCGGCATGGCCAGAGGCGCCGCGCATGCGCGCCGATGGAGCCTCGCGAGCGCGGCGGCCGCGCCCGAGGCTGCCGCGAGGAGGCACAGCGGGATCGCCACGGCGGAGGCCGCCGCGAGGGTGCCCGCCTGCGCCGCCGCGTGGCTGTCCCTGCGCGCGTCGTCCAACAGCCGCGCGACGGAGCACTCGGTGCAGTTGTCGCACGCCGAGCATTCATCCTTGACGGCGGCGATACCCACGCTGCAGGCATCCTCGAGGGCCCCATCATCGCCAGGGTTGTTCGAGCCGAAGCCGCTCGTCAACTTGTCCATCTGACACTTGATGGCTTCCGCGCAAGTTTGGCCCTGCCCGCAGATGGAACACAACTCGTTGCAAGGGTTACAAATGTCGCGGCGTACCAGCGGGTACTCGATTGTCACCGTATGATCTGCGTGCTCACTGGAATAAGAATTGCCTGAGATCGTAGTGCCACTCACATGCAAACACTCGTAAAAGCTCGGCCCGTGCGCGTTCAGGATGTAGAAAGACGAGTCGTCGTTGTGGCACTGGGACGATACACCAGTAAAATGAAGGCTATCAGTGAACCATCCAGGCTGGGTCACGGTGCAGTCGCAAGAAATGAACATGTTACCATGCTCATCCAGATGCCCACCGTACATCACCTGGTACTCCCCAGCGTAATCCTCGCACGCTCTGCTCCCAGGTTGATGGGTCGCGGCGGACAGGCTGCAGAGAAGCGGCGCCACCCAGCGCAAGGTCAGGCGTGCCTTCTGGACTGCCATCCTACAGAACGGCGCAAGAGGATACTGCCTGTGTGTATGATATACACTAGGTGGTGATGTATGAGGATTGCACTACAACGGCCTGAGCCGCAATGCTTGAGTCAAAATGGCTTGACCAAGATGGCTTGAGCCAACACGCTACGGGCAAGCAGGGTGTTTCTTGGCATGGGCCCCCACTGTATGTCAGTGCCCTGACGGCAAGCAGAGTGGACCACGGCTGCCCTACCCGCTGCCGTCCGGCGCGCTCCTCTGCCACGGGATGGCCGCAGGACGGCCCCAAACCAAACGCTTGACGACCGCAGAGTGCCCCAAGACTGCCGAAAGAGCTCCAAGTCGGTCAAAACCCTAAGCCAAGAGGCCCCCTCATCCTCCTCCTCATCAGGCCTTGCTCCTCCTCACCCTCCCTCCTGCAGAAAGTGCACTGGAGAAACCCCAAGCCAACCAAGAAGGCCCCAAGATGGTTCCGGTAAGCCCGCATCAGGGCCCCGGGAGGATGTGTTTCCAATCGTACCTGCGTCCCATGCTCTTCTGGAGAGGATGGCTCGGCCTCCTCGAGATGGTCGCAGAGGGCCCCATGAGACAGCGCAAGACAGCCCCACGAAGTCCCCTAGACTAAGAGAGAACCATGAAGGACACAACAAGACCGCCCCAAGCGGGATCCAAGACTGCCCCAAGATCAGTCAAGGCGACCTTCTGGGAGCCTGATAGAACTACCGAGCCCGAGACGCCCCAAGACGCCCAGCAGGCGCCAAGAGATCTCCAATGAGACTCCAACAAGCAGCCAGAATACCCCCCTGTCGGCATCGCAACAAACATGCAAGGCAGTGTCACGGCCACGCCACGCTACATCAGCGCAGAGCTGCAGGACGGCACAATAATCTTCTACGAGCCTTTCTGGGCGAGCTCCGAATAACCATCAGGCCCGTGGCAAAATCATGGTTCTACTGCGTACCTTCGCGAAAGATCAGCCTGACGGAGGAGGAGAAGGAGAGGGCCACAGGACTGACGCCATGCCTCCAGCAGCACCGCCCGCTGATTCTGAGCGCCAGTACGAAGCCGCGCTGGAGAATTTCAAGGCTCGCGTGGTGGCTGGGTACCCTCGGTGTTTTAGCACACATGAGCGCACAATCCCATCATGCGGGCAGGCACTGACCCAACTCTTCGAAATACTCAGCCTGAAATGTCAGGAAAAACGTCGCGAACCGCGTTTCAAAGCGACTCGATCGAGTCTGTTGTGACATGGACATCCCCAAATTGTCACATGGGAAGGCTCGCGCAACGGCGGACGAGGGAGAGCGCAAAGTCTCCTGCCTCCCGGTTGATCGGCAAGCTCCACTGTGCTGCGCAGGGCCACCCTTCATAGAGATGCGAGTCAGGCGCTGGGTTGAGATACTGACAGCACTTCCAAAACACGCGCGGGCCTGCCCCGAAACAGCAGAGACTGCAGCCCGTCAGGGCACACTACAGTCAACACGTATAACAAAGATGCGCGACTAGGACGCAAGGGCCTTGGAATACCGCCCTCTCCCTCCCATTTCCGTCGAGGGCCGAGGCCTCCAGGGTCGGCGGCACCAGTCGTAAGGCCTCAGCAATAAGGATGCGCGACAAGGATACAAGGGCCTTGGAAGGCCATGTCGGCACTTTTCGAGCGGCCCGCGGCCAGCGAAAGTGGCCAAGGATGGGCCGAAGGGGAGAAATGCGAGGGTAACCTTGGAAAGTCGCTCATCCTTACCATTAGTGTTGACTGTAAGCACGCCTGCTCGCCCATGCGCGATTGTTCAACCCCCAAACGGGTTCCGTCCAGGATCAACCGCCCATCTTTATCGTTGACGCCGTAAGGACCAGCATGTCCAGGCAAACCCGAGCATGGCGACGAGGACCCCACGCACCCGAAGCCCCAAACAGGAGAGAGGCGTCACCTGGATGGGGACCCTTGCGTACCCTCGTCCACCGGCTGCGGTCACGAGCGCCCCCCCCGCTGGCCCAGGGCAGTCCTGCTCAGGCTGTCTGCCGTGCGGCGGAGGTGGCGCCGCTTGGGGCCCTGAGCTCTCCACCTGGTCCAAGAACAGCGCCACCGCCTCGGCGGTGCAGTAGCCTTCTGCCGGGTGGACGAGGCGGAGGAGGAGGAGGAGGAGAAGGCGGAGGAGGAGGAGGAGGAGCAAGAGGGAGGAGGGAGGAGGAGGGGAAGGAGGAGGAGGAGGAGGAGGAGGAGGAGGAGGAGCGCTGAAAGGACGGCACCGAGCGCGGCGGCGGGTGAGTTCAGGGGGCACCTCTGCCGAGGCCAGAAGGAGCGCGTGAAGCGCAGGCCGCGGTCTGACTGACGCTGTCTCGCATACGAGGAGCATCAGGGCCAAGACAGGACCAGAAACACGCGCAGCCCGATGACGAATACGAGGGATGAGGAGGACGAGGGGGGGGCAGACCGCGAACCGCGAAGCGCGAACAACTTCGCGCCATCGTGGGAGGCCTTCATGTTCTGCACTGCTTCGCGGTACCTTGCAAAGCTTTGATCTGCTGCGCAATGAGGTGCAGCAGTGTGTGCTGCCTTGCAGCAGTTGGGTTCGCTGTAGTTGCTGCGTTTTCTCTTTGAACTTCACTGCTGTGGAATGATGTCATGTACTTTGACTTGACATGCACTGCGTTGCTTTACATTGCGCTGAATGGTTTTGCATTGTTCCGCGTTGGTTCAAGCCTGTGTATCAAGTTGCACGACTTGGTAGTTCGATCAATGTCCTCGCGTTGCGATCGCTTCGCATCCCCTATCTCTGCTTCTCAGAGGGGGGAAGCCCTTCAAACACGGATAGGGCACCTAAAGAAACCGGGAAGGACATCCTCGAGGAACCCGGCCGCGGGAGCCAGATTGCCGCTTGCCCTCTTGCACAGAAGAAGTTCGAGCGCCCAGGCAACTAGTTTGGACAGCATGAGGGAAGCTACAACCTGGCATAGTCAACACGATGCTGCCATCATAGTGAGGCACATCTCGAAGTTGAGCTTCGCTAGCACAGCAGCCTCGCCCACCACATCTGCACAGACAGTTAGATCAAGACTGGAACTCGGGGACTGGTGGTGGCGAACGACTATCTGAAATCGGCGGCCAGAGGATATACGGCGTCGCATGGTCGCACCATGCCCAGCACCACGCCTGGACCCACATGTCGAGCAGGACCGCAGCTGCGAGGCACACGCACACACACACACACACACACACACACACACACACACACGCACGCACAAGCACGTTTCGGGCGCACGAAGGCGGGGCACGAGCCGCTCGGCCAATCCACGGGCAGCCAGCTAACGAGGGCAACAACAAACAAAAACAGCAACAAGTGGGGCGACCGAGGATCGGCCTTGGAAGCCGGCCAGTGGACAGGGGTGAAGGTGAGGGGGGTATGCTTCAGAACCGCACAGGTTCCCCACTCAGGATCGCCCCCAAAGAAAACGTCAGTCTGCAAATCGACCCTCTCAGAACACACCATGAGACCCTTGCCCAGGGCAGTCCGTCAAGAAGGGTGATGTTCGAAATCATCCAAAGCGTCCCTCCCGAAACCCCTCTGGCCTGGGGGGGTGTCCGTGGAAAAAAAGAGACGGCCGGTCGTCTCTGGCGCAGTCCCCGAGCGCGCGGCAGCCCGCGGAGGGCAGCAAGGCCTTGCCCCGCGGGACGCGTCGCCCAACCGGTGGCGGGGGTCTGATCAATTCGACGCGGACCTCCCCGAGAAAAACGGCCGAGGGGGGATTGGGGGAAGTGTCTCCGGAAATGCCCCCTCGCGGGCTCAAAGACGGGGACCCGAGGGACGGGGGGTCCTGAGGACGAGGCGCCTCCCCGCCCTCGGGACCCCATCCTTCGGGACCCCGCCCTTCCTTGCACCGACCCCCCCTCGCGGGGGCAGCGCCGGCCGGCCCCTCGGGAGGCCGTGGCGGAGGGCAGCGGGCGGCGGGCAGCGGAGGCGCCCAACGGGCCCTGGCAGCATAGGCGGGCGGCGGGCCCTGGCGGGGAGCAGAGGAGGAGGAGGAGGAGGAGGAGGAGGAGGAGGAGGAGGAGGAGGAGGAGGAGGAGGAGGAGGAGGAGGATAAGGA